TTATCAGCTCTGATTCGAATAATGCAGAAAACCTTCAAACACTGTATCATTAGCATCTTTTTTAGCATCTATACAACCACCACGGACACACACACACACACACACACACACACACACACACAATAATGGGAGTCCCAGCAGCNGCCTACATTCAAACTTTGGTATAGGTCCAGGAAATGACATGTGTGTACAGTTGACATTTGTTGTGTGAGAATAAGTTATTATTTTGTTCTTTATATTCTCACTTGTGGTGAGTGTGAGAGAGAGTGAGAGAGTGAGAGAGAGAGTGAGTGAGAGAGTGAGAGAGAGAGAGTGAGAGAATTAGAGAGAGAGAGAGAGAGAGAGAGAGAGAGAGAGAGAGAGAGAGAGAGAGAGAGAGAAATACATTTGCCTCCGAGTCCTGCATGGACTGTATTTTAACATTGGTCATATGGTGGTACTTGGAGATTCAACTATTTTCTCAGGTGGTACTTGGCGTAAAAAGGTTGAGAAACACTGCCTTAGAGTAAACTTTCCCGGGGAGGCTGAGTAGTGTGATGCCCCTGTAATTGGCACACACACTCTGATCCCCCTTTTTGAAAAGGGGAACCACCACCCCGGTCTGCCACTCCTTCGGTACTGTTTCCGACTTCCACGCAACGTTGATGAGACTTGTCAACCATGACAGTCCCTCAACACCCAGAGTCATGTTGTGTAAATATTGCACAAGTGCCTACTGTTGACATGGTATTGATGTTTGTCTTTACATGTCGATACAGTTCCTGCAAGGCTTGTAACATGAACTCAAAACTCTTTAAATCTTTTTGGTAAAAAGATTTCGCTGTAATGCTAGGCACACTTCCAGACAAAATGTCATTAAATGCTTTAATAATTAAAATAATTCCTTATAAACGCAATGCAATACAAATAAATAGGCTGATAAAATGCATAAATAAGAATAACTTTATGTATATATTAATTCAGTGGTATTAATGTATGTTTTAAAATATCTGTTTCCAAGGAACCCTGATGGAGATGATCAGCCCTGGTGCTTCATCAACAATAATGGCAAACTTAAATGGAGCGACTGTAATGTTAGGAAATGTTCTGGAGGTAAAACACACACACACACACACACACACACACACACACACACACACACACACACACACACACACACACACACACACACACACACACACACACACACACACACACACACACACACACCTCTTGCTGTGATGTACAAATTATGTGGAATATATATATGTCGTTGATAACTGTGCAATATATACCTGGTTGCTATCTCTTCAAAGCTGTTACAGGATGTGTATTTTGTAAATTGTGTAATTTTTTATCTTTAATATTTGTGTATGTATGCTTCGTAGTTAACATTAAGCTGTCTTTGGCTCTTTTCTGCTGTAACAAATGTAAGATCCCCCTTTTTTTCCACGAATAAAGGTTTTCTGATTCAGATTTTTAATACACAAAGCAAAGTTTTTGTGTTTTTCCTCGATGTTTATACTGTGTGAGAATGTACGTTTATTAGTCTTGACAAATAAGATGTGTTTAATTTTTTTGTTTTACATAAGTCTTTACCATAAATGGAGATGTTTCCATTGATATGAGGCTGAATATCTCCCACTGATTCCACCTTCTGGCTGAAGGTCCATCCTGTGGGCTTGAAGGCCACCAGCTGATCATATTTCCCAGAGAAGCGCGCCAGGTAGTCCTTCAGTTTCTGGAGATAAGATGTGGGTGAGAAGGAGGAATGGAAGTGAGCCTTTTCATATTCAAACAGAGCTGCACTGTACCTGCTAACACAGCTAACAACAAAGAGCAGCTGCTAAATAGAGTATATACATAAATCTGATCTAAAGTGATATCAGCTGTTGTGCTCCAATGCTAGGAAGCTTCATCATCCAACGAAAAAGTTATTCAATGTTCTTTTCATCCCCTGTTTGCAAAGAAAACTGCAAAGAGGTTATTCACAATGCAAACATTTTATAGATCAAATATCCATTTATTTCAAGGTGACTGTGCCAGAAGCACTTTTGATGATATTCTCTAACATTCCCTACTCAAAGGGCTCACTGCAGACCCAAACTGAATCTGTGTCCTCCCGACTCAGCCTTTCTGTGCCCAGTGATGCTTGAATTATACCGACTCTGGGACTTATCTGTGGTTCTGCAGATGGCAAATTCAAACGCGTTGGTCCTTTTAGAGAGAGATGATGTGCCTGGTCATCATAATAAGCATTCCCTAATTATTTCAACTGCTGTCCCGGATACTTTCTCATTATGAGTCGAGCATAAGCAGAATAAAAGACGTGTTAGCAGCACATCGAAATAAACTGTCCTTAACTAATAAGACACAGCCCTTCTTAAACAGAATCCTTTGTATACAATTTTCACACCATTTGAGAAATTGTGTATAATTATTTTAGTTAGTGCTATTGTCTGTCATCTCGCTAAGTAGTGCATTACATAATGAAATTGTCAAACTCATCCAAATAAATGACTAAATAAAAAAGGGACTGTCTGAGAAACAACAGTCAGATGTTTGTTTTCTTTACATGCCCCTAAAATAGGACATGCTTTTGACTCTCGATGGCCCAGAGTCAGGCTATAATAAGTCTTCTTATCAGATCAATCCAATCCAAATAGCACATGTTAAAAGCAGAGGGTTTACCAAAGTGCTTCACAGCAAACATAACATTATAATAAAATATAATATTAAAAGGCATACATAAGAATTGGAAAAAACGACTGCTGTACTTACTTTGAAGGAGAGGTGCATCATGGGTACCACATGGACCTGGGCGGCCTTCAGGTCGGTGGTTATCCGTTGTTTGATTTGCTCCGACTCCAGACAGCACATGATGTTGTATTTGTCTCTAGAGAGGCACACTTTAGAGCCCAGCACCTCGGCCAGCGCTACAAAGGAAGCAAAGTCTGTGTCAGAACTATGAAAGTGGAAAATGGAAATTCAGCCTTAAGTTGATATAGTGTTATAATATTTAAGAGCTCCTCAAACACCCACTGAGCAATTGTATATTTTATTTCAATATTAAGTTTCTTCCTCCAAAAGCGCTCCATCCCGTTCTAATGTCATGCAGAGCTGGTTGAAGCCAATGTGATTACGGACGGAATGCTTTCTGTGAGGACATCGTTGGTTTTCCGATTACCTCACGACATGACTGGAAGAGTTCATGCGTCACTTTAGGATACGGGAGTGGCTCTTTTCTCAAAACAGACTAATCCATAAATTCTCCACGGCGCTCTAAACACCTAATCTCACATGACCTTTCAGGGGGAGGAAAAAGGTCAGGTAGCAATATGAAGCTACAGACAAAAAAAAAAGCAATCTTCTTTTTGGGTTTCGGAAAACACATTTACTTTTTGAGTCCAGCAGTATGTGTTGGTGTTAACGTACATGAATATATGAATACACTCACCCAGGAAGACTTTCTCTTTCCCCACAGAGTAGGATCCGCACACCACCAGCGTACGAGGGTTGAGCGTCACCAGTTCGAAGGCGGTGTTGGCTGCGAAGTTGATGACCTCTTGCTGTCTGGGGAAGGTGTACTCAGGGCTGCAGTAGCTACGGGGATATATTATATTATATTTAAAAAAAATTCCTTTCCTTCTTCATCACCTTTACTGAGTGTCTTACATGAGCGAATGAGGACACTGCACACATTGCAGCCCATATTGATCCACATGAGAAGAGTTTAAAATACAGGGAACATCGCTAAAAGGTCACACGTATACCCACAGTCCGGTTTCGGCCATTCAGCACCACAACCGGTCAATTCATTGTATATAAAAGGAGACGGACTGGTACTAACGTGGTGTCCAGGTAGAGCGTCTGCACCCTGCAGCTGAGTAACTCGGGGTACGTCTCCATCGAGGGATCAGCCCTGAAGTCCCCGGTGTGGAGGACCGTCTGTCCATCAGGCAGGAGGAACAGCAACATGGCCGCTCCGGGACAACTGGAAGCACAGCCGCACACAGGAGGTTAAGCCGGATATAGATACAAACAAAAAATGCATACAGAGTTTCACGAAAGAACACCCTCTTAGTATTCCTCAGTGAACGCATTCAGGCAGTTTGCTTGAGTCTGTCTGACTTTGGAATCAGCGTCAGACCCTGGCCTGCTGGGTATTGACGTAATGTTGATGACTCACTGGTTGGCCTCCAGGAGGGTTACCGTGACTCCCTCCACGGTGACCGGGGTGTTCATGGGGAGGATGTGGACGTACTGCTCTGCTATCCTCAGTTTGCTCTTCACCAGGTTCCCTGTAATCTGAACAGGAGAGGCAGCTGTCAGTGTGGTTTACTTACAAACAGTGACTCAGCAGAAAAGCTAGTAAAACCAAGATTATTCTATAAAAAGTGAATAAAACATGGGTATTGTAATCACTTTTGCATTAACGTGACCACAAATGAGCGTGTCTTGTATTTTATTATAAGTGAATATGTAACACCGTCCACACTCAGCGATCAAACTTTTCTAGGCTGTGACCTACCTAGCGTCCGATTTGATTTTTTGTGACCTACCAAATAAACAAAACCACAGTGGAATACCAATGAGTCCTTGAAAGCCTGTTTTAGTTGTAATCCCAAAATAGCAGACACTGTAATAAATCATGACCCATTTATCCAGCGTCTTCCACCAATACATTTTATTCCAGATCTATTGGGATATTATAATTACTTTCAGAGGCAAGTTCTTCAATATCCAAGTAAGATAAATAAAAAGCCTCAGTTTCTTGCTCTAACCCAATTATATGTCTAATTTGAACCTGAAACAGTTCAGACTGAATTATTAACGTGTGCTTGTTTTTCTATAAACCTCGAATCAGTCAGTGTGTTGCCTCGTTCACACACACAGGGACAAAGCTTAATCTGATAAAGAAGGACTAAATGAGACCCAGACGTATTACATGAACAAAAGGTCTCGAAATTTTAATCGACTATAATATTGTCAGGGCCATTGGCACATTTGTATTCATCGCTGCCAACTGCAAGCTCCTTTTTCATTAGTGAATGCAGAGAGATAAGAAATGGGTCAGGCATTTACTCTGAGTTCTGTGGAAGAGAACAGTCAGAAAGCTTTTTAATGAGATACAAATAAAGAGGATATATTATTTTTTTTAAAAAGGTTTGTAGCAACTTCAAAGAATGCACAGTATTCAATGACTTAAAAAGCCCTTTGGAGGGGAGACCTGACGTTTTGGAAGCAATACAGACTACAGACATCTCTAAAGCTCTTTCTTTTCACTGTATGAATTATTCAAATGTTGAGTTTGTGTGGAATGAAGTTTCAGTGCTGAACTGAAATGAAATCTGGGGTGGGTAAAAACCACCATCCTTAAATGTTTAATATGAAAAATGTAAGCAAAAAAAGTCCCTCCAAAAGAAATGCTACGGTATAATCTAGTCATAAAATAAGGCTTAGAGTAAACCAGCTAATTTCAAAACACAGAGGTTAAGCTTAAGTGCTTAATTGTTGGACAATCTTACCAGTATACAAAAATATGAATCACTTCAATCAATTCAATATCCATGGAGGTCCCATTTTACAATACTCTAGACTTGACTCACTCTGTTACAGTAGATTGGCAATGTGGACTTCTGGGTCAAGCCTCCGTAGTGATCTGAGTGGAAATGTGTCAGGAAGTAGGCAGTGATGCCCTGGATCTCCCCATACTGAAATGCATCTATGGTAAAATGTGTGCCTATGTAAAATAAAGAAAAACTTACATTACAACACACAAATAATTAACGTATTTAAGCAGCAGTAAATGGTGCTTCCCTCACCTGGAATCTTTTTGTAGAAGGGGCAACGCGGCAACTCTACTTCTCCATCAGCGTTCCTCCTGGGCCACCTAATTCCTCCCCATCCTCTGGTCCTACCTTTACCTGGTTCAGCCTGAGCTTTACTAGTATCTACAGCCACTGAGCCAGTCTCTGCAGCTGTGGCAGCCTTACTTTTTCTTTGCCTGTCTCCCTTCTGTTGTCTCTGTCCTGAGTTTTCACCCAGCCTTGGAACAGAGGTGGCGTTGAGTTCATTTGGTCCACTTTCAGGCTCTTTCTCCTTTTTCTTGAGGGGTTTGAGACCAAAAAACACCCCAATATCTGTCTGCTTCATACCGGACGCCTGACCTGCCTTGATCTGGCCCTTCTGTGGCGCCATTTTTTGAGATCCTTGGACAGTGGAGGTTTGTGATGGAGGCACTTGAATACTGCGGTCAGTCAAGTTTTCCAAATGCACGCTCTGATCCGAGCTGAGAAGAGATTCTCTGAGGCGCTCTAAAACAATACTTTGAGGAGACTGAATGCTGCTTTGACATTGACTGACAGCACCTGTTGAATGAGCTCTGTTTGCAGCAGCTAGCTGATTAGTGGGCGGCGATGAGGTAACTGACTCCAGCTGGGTGTCAGAGGAAGAAGGCACATTATTATTGGTTTCTAAACTATATAAAAATTGAGTGAGAACTTCATCGTCACTTGAGAAACCGTCGTTAAACAGCACCTTTGAGTTTTCATCCTTATTCTCAAATGTATCCTTTTTAAAAAGAGCTTTCCGACATTCACTGCTTTTGACTTCCATCTCTGCAGGAAACTCGGAAAGAGGAGAGTAAGATATTTCATCATCGTTGTCAAGGGAACGTTCACTTTTTATTAAACCGTCACAAGTGTCTCTTCCACTCGCTGCCTTCACAGGAGGGGATGACAGCTCTGGTTTAATTTCCTGGGAAGCACTGATAGACTTTTTGGTTTTAGTAGAGGACGACCAGCCTTTCTTTTTCTTTAAATCCTCTGGGCCAGGTGAGCGCAGCAACATGAGTCCATTTGTACGTTTGGATGGAGGTGTTCCAGGGAGATTACAGTGAGTGGATAACACAGAAACACTGAGAGCACTATCCTGGGAAGTCTCTAAAGTAGAGCCATCCTCCTCATTGTGTATCAGCCCTGGGAGACAGCTGAGGCCCGTCCCCCTGCTGGTCCCTGCCTGTTGGGACAGACTGAGGAGGGCTGTGTCACCGTTTGCTCGACATTGGGCCAGGACGGTGTGGTTGCATTTCTTATAATGGTTAGGAATGGTGGAGCAGCACTGGAGGCCATCTGGACATTCTGTGTGAAAAACAGAAAACAATGTAGACAGACTTATCAACAGAGTACTAAATGGTCATTTAAAAGCAACAACACATGCAAATTCTGAAAAAACAGTTTGACGATACATATACTCAAAATACTGAAGTACCTATACATCAATTTACTCATCGCATCAATTCAGCTGTCTCAAGGGAGCTTTCTAACAAAAAAAAAACACTATTTATGTAGTCCAGGTTTTCTTAAATTGGGATTGAGACTTGACATTTTAATTGAGAATTGACTATTTTACAAACTTTGGGTTGACCAAAATATGGGCCTTAACCATGTTCTTAATATCGAAACTTTAATTATGACCAGTAAATAAAGAAGTGGCTGAAAGAGAAACAAACATAGGTACATCACATAAGCTAAAGTGTAAGCTCATTTGAATGGATATGGTGCAATATGTATTGTTAATGTACATCTAAACTCAATCAAACAATCTCCTGAGTCGTCACCAGCTTCTTTTGTCTCTACTCCTCAGCTGTACTTCATTCCTCAGACCCTTAATTGCCAATTTCTCACTCATCTGCCTTTCCTTTCCTGCCCTCCACCTCACCTGCATCACTGCTTTAAATCACCTCTTAATAGATCCTGCTGCCCTTATACCAGCCCATTTTCTTTTTTTCCATGCCAGTTTATCACGTGTTTATGTGGCTGTGACCTGCCTGCCAGACCTACTGCCATTGTAAGCGTTTCAAAATGAATCATGTAACTGCACCAGTCTGCCTGGTTTTCAGGTTTTTCCCTGCAATAGTTACATTTAAAAAAATGACACTGACAATTGACAACTGCATGTGTTCCCCTGAATGCAGGATGAAAGGTACAAGACACACATATGTAGTTATTATTGATGATGGGTCTCTGATGAAGATGATGCATGTGGTCATACGGTTTATTTTAATTTTTGTAATGAAGTATGGATATCTGTACCTTTGCATGTGTCTCTGGGGGTGTCAAGACATTCAGCAACATGCCATCTTTGAGTCTGTACCACCAAAATGGAAAAAGGCATCTGACACATGGGGCAAAAGTCTCCAGAGGATGGTCCCTCATCAGCAGCAGCATTGTCTGTCTGCACTCTGTCCCAAGCAGTGGATGACTTTGATGGAAGAACAAGGGCCTCTGAACTGCTGTCTCCATTAACAACAGACCCACAATCTCCATTTTCAGCTTTCTTGACTTTGCTATCAGCTGACTTGACAGAGAAAGAAGTGTCTCTCTTTGAGGTTTTTCTGACAGTACATCTTTTGGTCACAGTTACAGCCGGTGAATCGTTCTCCTTCTTTTTCTTCTCCAGAGGTTTATATTCCCAGATGTCATCTTCAGAGTCGTCCTTTTGTGACATTTGGAGAAAAATAAACCATTAGTTTGTCCAATGACTTCCTCCTCAAAACCCTCGTTATAATACAAGGATTGGATTCGATAACATCCCGCGGTTGACGAAAATAATAAACGTTATAGTACTTTATCGTTTATAGTAGATTCCTTTTAAAATGTTAAGGATAATTCCGAGTGCTGAACTACTTTATCATAATTAATATTTACGATATAGAACTTTCTTCTTCAGCTTCATACTAGGTTTCGACCTTCGACCATAGGTTTCGACATGTTAGCACTTACCGCCACAGCACAACACTGAATGAAGTAAAGACACATAGAGAAACAGAGCAGCACATTTAACACAATTCAGCACATTATTTTAATTATTTGAGCAAAGGTTACTTTTTTCAAAACTAAAAAGTATTTGACTGGTTTTTCACCTATTTAAATATAACCTACATTTCTGTGAAAAATAGCCTTCCAGTGATATTGTTTATTTTTTTTACAGTGTCGAAAGCAGCGGTCTGAATTGCAGTGGTGAATTTACCTAGCAGGCTAGCTGTTGACAGAAACATGGCGTCCCAGTCCAGCCTCTCTACTTTATTTCCTATCCAAAGTGAGCTGGATTCTGCCCTAGATGAAGCTACGACTCAACAAGAGAAAGAAGATATTGTCAACGAGTATTTAAAAAAACTAGACGAAAGAGATGATCTGAAGATACCGGATTTCCAGACAGGTTAGACCATGTTAAAGCGTTTAGCCCGATTACTGTCTCTCTCCATAGCATAATTGCTTTACTTTTAAAGTTTGCTTACATTCCAATACATGACTCGACATGTTCTCGAGAATAAAACTTAACAGCCATTGTTTCCTCACCCTTCCTATACATAAATATTCTTTTAACACAAGTGTTTGCTTACAAGCTTGCTAAAGTTAGCTTATCCACGCCCTAAACAGTCAGGGAAGTGAGGTTAAGATACATCTTCATTGATCTCAAGTGGGGAAATTCGGTTGTTGCAGCAGTAGTACAAGGACATACATAACAGAATAGGATGTACATTAATTTAATTGAGAATACTATAAAAAGTACAACGTTTTACAAGAGCATTTAGAGCGAAAACTACATAGCAAAGTGTCAGTGATGATAGTAGCAGTAAACAGGCCTTTGTAACAAGTGTGCAACAGGCTGATACATTTGATGATAAAGTAATGTTACTCCATGTGTATCTGTTTGAATTAAAGAGTAAATTAGAATAAAGCATAAGAATATAAGGTAGGCTACATTATGTTTCTGCATATGAGACGTAGCCATAGTTTCTGGTGTAATAGTATAGTAGCATATTAACCATAATTTCAACATTATGACAAAGTATATTGTATAGCTTGGTGTAAGAAGCAACAATGACTACTTTCAGACAAAATGGATAGCAGCTGCTTGGTGTAGGTTCACCTTTTGCAGTGCTTCCTGTGGTGTGTTTTATTGTAACAGTTTTTACGAGTTGTGCAATAAATAGTTAGTATCAGCATTTCCTTTAATAGCCCCATCATATAAAGGGTTTATTGGACAGACCACTGTTTCTTCAATTGTTCCTCACTCATTTTTTATTTTTTTGTTTTGTATGCAGCATGTTGGCAATATCCTAACGCACCAGTAGATGGAGATCTATAGTAGAACTTCAACAGTAGAATAACATTGCTGTTGGGGATATTAACTGGACCCTCAAACAAGCCCTCATGACTATATTACTGATAGTTTAAAATGTCTCTTTATATATACAGTGGGGCAAAAAAGTATTTAGTCAGCCACCAATTGTGCAAGTTCTCCCACTTCAAAGCATGAGAGAGGCCTGTAATTGTTATCCGAGGTATACCTCAACTATGAGAGACAAAATGAGAAAAAAAAAAAAATCCAGAAAATTACATTGCCTGATTTTTAAAGAATTTATTTTCAAATGATGGTGGAAAATAAGTATTTGGTCAATAACAAAAGTTCATCTCAATACTTTGTTATATACCCTTTGTTGGCAATGACAGAGGTCAAACGTTTTCTGTAAGTCTTCACAAGGTTTTCACACACTGTTGCTGGTATTTTGGCCCATTCCTCCATGCAGATCTCCTCTACAGCAGTGATGTTTTGGGGCTGTCGCTGGGCAACACAGACTTTCAACTCCCTCCAAAGATTTTCTATGAGGTTGAGATCTGGAGACTGGCTAGGCCACTCCAGGACCTTGAAATGCTTCTTACGAAGCCACTCCTTCGTTGCCCGGGCGGTGTGTTTGGGATCATTGTCATGCTGAAAGACCCAGCCACGTTTCATCTTCAATGCCCTTGCTGATGGAAGGAGGTTGTCACTCAAAATCTCACGATACATGGCCCCATTCATTCTTTCCTTTACACGGATCAGT